GCCCGGCCCCGCCCTGCGGCCGTTGGGGGCGGGGCCTGCGCGGCGCCCCGCCCTGCCCTTCCCCGGTCACGTGCTCTGCCGCAGGGGGGGGCTTTGCCCACGTGGGAGACTGGGTTGTCCCGCGACTGCCGCCGGGCACATTACAGTGCCATGCATGTAATGTGCAGTGTGTCACGTACTGTGCAGTGTCAGCATGTAAGGTGCAGCGCATCATGTAACATGCAGTGCACCACGTGTGTAATGCGCCGTGCCTGGTGTATGTGATGTGCAGCGCGTCATGTAACATGCAGTGCGTCAGGCATGTAACGCGCTGCGCATCATGCATGTAACAGCATGTCATGCATGTAACACGTAGCAGGGGCCTACAGACAGCAGCACGGCCCAACTAACGAGAGCCTGGTTATAGATCACAGAAGATGAGGGTGGAAGGGGCCTCGGGGGTCACACCTAGCCCGGCCCCCTGCTCAACACAGGACCAGCTCCAGCTCCATCATCCCAGCCAAGGCTTTGTCTGTCCTGGTCTTGAAAACCTCCAAGGATGGAGACTGCACCACCTCTGTGGGCAGCCTGTTCCAGTGTTTTACAACCCTCCTCGTGAGAAAGTTTTCCCTAATATCTAACCTAAACCCCCGTGGTTCTGGGACTCGGTACGGAGCCGCAGGTCGGATTTGTCATGTAACATCACTAGCGCTTTGTTACCGGCGATCATTTTGTAACACACAAGATATTAAACCCAGCATAAGGCAACTCAGTGGTGGTCCCTATTAGCATGACTGAAGAGGAATTCGTGGGAAGGAGGTGGCTGCCCATTAACCCATGAACTTGACCTGCTCGCATTGGGTGGAAGCCCACACCCTCTGTGCTTATAAAAAGGAGAGGAAACGTTTGAGCCCAATTGCCTGGAAGGAAAAATTTGGATGGAAAAACGTGAATGAAAACGAGGAGTTCTTACCTGGACGCATTTCCGCGATCCGCAAAGAGGATGTCTCTCGTTACAAGCCCATCCAAAGTCAATGATGATTTGAAGACTGTGCTTAGAAATAAAAAAAACTCACCTAGAAACAAATGGAGAAAGAAGGAAATAGGTAGAACTAGCAATATATCTTGATATGAATTATAAGCTACAGAGCGCGTATAACATTGATAAAGGAAGCTAAATATAGGACAGATTTTTTCCCCTGATAGTAGAGGCAAGTAAAGAAAGGGGATTTCTAAGGCATATTTGCAATTAAAGCAGCGGTCTTGGTCCACTACTCCGTGGAGATGAGCATATTGTTGTTCATTTTTCAGAAAAGATAGAGGTATTGACCCAATGCTCTGTTGTGTTTGGGAAGAAGCAGGCTGATGGACTCATTCCACACGTAAGTGATGAAATATTTTCCAGCGCAATAGTAACTGAGACAGGTGGTAGGCGACATCTAGTTGGGATACATATTTTGAAATCAGCAGGGCAAGAGGCGTTGTAACCATGAATCTTCAAAGAGTTTGGGAGGAGATCTCTGTCACACCAACGGTAGTTTTTAATGAATCCTACAATACAGAGTATCCCAGAAGACTGGTATGGCGCTAATGTCGAACAGGCATTCAGTAAGGGCAAAGGGGTGTCCCAGCCTGACATCAATCCCTGACAAAGTTATAGTGAACCTGAGGCAGGAGTCGGCTGAGAGCACGTGGGAACATAACGCCAGTCAACACGGTTTTACGGGAAACTGATCTTGTCGAAGAAACCCGGTTTCATTCTTGGATGAGACGTTTGGTTGATGAAAGTAAGCGTATAAATGTACAGTACTTTGGCTTTTGTAAGCCATTGGTAGCAAGTGCTTAAAAATTAGCTTTATACAGGTAAATGCCAGCAGACCTTGCTGTGTTACTGACTCTGCTTTGCCTAAAAGGGAGCTGGTTATTGTATGTCAGACACATTTGGTCGTGGTGATCCCCATGTCTCGCACCTCTGTGTCGGTTCCTGCAACTCTTTTCGTGTCCTGGAACAATGCTGACATGCCCTGATAAAATTCTACCTAATGCAAAATGCATCCATCCATATAAGTGACCCTGGCTGTTCCCAGCGCAGCAGCACAGCACTGAACTTCTGCACTGAAGCACCTTGTTTGGTAATAGCATTTATTGGATTAACGATATAGCTGGCAGAGATGTTAGATGAGCTTTTGGGGCTTCCTGAAATGCCTTGTTTCAGGTCTTGGGCTATACCTAGCTTCCTAAGACATAGCCCAAGCTTAACATCAGGGAACACAGTGACTTTTAATTCCATGATGTAACTGAAAATAGTCACTTAAAGAAGTGGAAGATACAGTAAACCTATGGAGCAAAGAGTGCAGAGTTGCGGAGAAAGGTAGTTAGCTGTGGTAGTCTGCAGTCAGTGAGAAGGCAGGGTAGATATACAACTTTACAAACTAACTAAATAAGAGATATATAGAGCATGAGCTTTTGTGAACCCACGCTCACTTGCTATCTGGACAGTGCAAGCTCTTGACCAGATTCACCCTGGCGACCTGAGGAACCAGCCCTCCCACTGGAATCGCGATCCAGTGAACGATACTCCCAAACAAACCTTGCTTCTTGCTTATTCTGTGGACCATCGCAGCCTGCAACATCGCTCCAGACTTATTCTCTGTTGCATTTCCCTGGGACCGTTCAGCGATCCGCCAGCAGGGAGAGTCCTGTGCACGCAGGAGACAGACGTGTCACCGAATCCCTGTCTAGACCCTGGAACTCGCTCCCATGATAGAAAAGGACGGCCACAGACCTTGCTGTATCAAAGAGCTAAACTCGTTTCTTCTATTGAGTTTTCCCATAGTGCACATACAACCGCACACAACACTAATCCTAATCAGGCTGGAAAGAGAGAAACCGTCTCACTGTATGGATGCTCAGATGCTATGGTAGGAGGCACCTATAGAAGAAGCTGGACGCGCCTGCAGTCTTTCCCTGCGTGTGCCCCTTCACTGCCCAAAGTGACATCCTCCCAGGGCTGGCAAACCCCAATGCTTTACTCTACCCCTTCTCAGATTTTTTCTCTTGGGACCAAATTCACCAGTCCCTTGACCTGGCCTGTGTATTGGGCCTACTCAGCATATTTTTAAATGCCCTTGGTCAGCAATCACTGCAAATCTGGAGGAGCTGCGAGCTGTGAAGGACAGGTATAATTCTCTGTTACTTGTGACGGGTTCCCCTGGGAGTTCCTGTAAAGGCTTTTGAAAATCCCATTGGGACCTATCAGCATGTTAGGCACCTAAATACCTTAGTTTGGCCCTTGTGTGCCTCAGCAAACCACAACAGCTTTGCCATTGGGGCACTAATCATCATAGCAATTGCTCCTCTAGCAATTTTCATCTTCAAAGCACTTCAGAAAT